GGGATAATACGTCTTAGAATGAACATAAAATTTAAGTTCTGGAAAAGGTCAATATTAGTCTATATTCATCAGTTAGCTTACTTGGTGTCATAAAATTACAACAGAATCCCTGTAAAATCTAGAAAATTGGAAAATTCATAAAACTCAGTAATTATTGAAAAACGCTTAATCATAATATTAATCGTTTTTCAATAGTTAATTGCATTTTTATTAAGTTTTTTGGATTTATCGGATTATACAAGGATCCTGTTATTTATGACATCAGGTATATCTACTGTAGCATTTTGACTCCCTATACTTTCACTTTCTTCATGATGGCTTGATATTGATAATTTTAGGCCCACAGAATGTGGTTGATCATTCTTCTTAATGTAATGTTTTGACTTAGAGAGTAGGCCAGGTGTAAGCCAAATGTCAACAAGTGCTAAAAATAGAGTTAGGGAAATTCCACGATAAATAAAAAAAACAGAGCTATGAACAGTGAAATTGTGATTTTTATTTTCATTTATATTTTCTCAACTGGTTCCTGTATTAAAGGAAATTTGAACATTGACTACATGTGTAAACATTTTTTGGGTTGAAAACCTTTTTTGATCAAAAAAACAGGGAAATTGTACCTAATAGTGATGAATAGTTTTTAACTTCTCCAGTAACAGAGAAACCTATTAACTAAGCAGGATGCAGTGTAAAAATACAATTTAGAAGACAAAACACATATTTTGGGATAAAAACACTTTTTTGGGGTAAAAAACAGGGAAATTGTACCTAATAGAGATGGTAATTAAGATTTATAGAAGTATCATGACTAAATTATGGCAGTGAAAAGCTGAATTCGATTGAAATGTTGTAGTTCAGAAGCCGACAAAACACATATTTGGGGTGAAAAACACTATTTTCGGATAAAAAAAACAGATGTATATTGTGATTTATAGAAATATCATGACTAAATTATGGCAGTTGAAAGGTGAATTTGATGACAATATTGTTGTCTATGATATCAAGGCATGAAATGGGTATACTAAAGCTAAAAATAGATTATGACATCACAAATTAGCATAAAACAACATTTAAAACTGCATTTAAGATATTTGATGCTGATATTAAAGATGGGTTTCCTTATTATTTTGTGACAAACTGAGAAAATTATTTGATTAATTGATGTTTTTAATGAATTATCATGTATTCTTAATCATATCATTATGTTCTTGTTTTAATCAATCATAAATGTCCATGTATGTACAGTCTGGATAAACAAAACAGACTTTTTGACCTTTCAATGACAAAATCTAAACCTGGACACCCCAACTTCTTTTTTTTAGATCATTAAATGATTTAAGAGAAGACTATATTCCTCCATATTATCACACAGACAAATTTTATCAATTGATTAAGTCCTGTAAAAGTAATTGTATTATGCTGAACATGTCCAGTTTCTTGGATAAAGTGTGGAAAAATGCACCCAACACCCCTAGGTCCCTTCAGTAAGCATACAGAATATTAATACAATACTAAACTACCTTAGTTAACACGAAACCGTCCTGTAGACTAGAACGTTTTCTCGATTATCAAGTACTATCAAATATCAAGCTAAACCTAGTAAACAATTATTCGTCTGCTCATAGAACTAGAGTTTTATCGTCTGCTTGAGTCATTTTGATTCGATCAAGTGAAGTGAAATTTGTTTGTTTGTTTGGTTATATACTGTCATCTTCCTTCTCAAATTTCAATTTTAGTAGCTCAAAATTTTCATGGTCATCATATATTGAATTTTTTAGGAGACATTAAGAATTGGTCAGACTTTCATTTGACATATTGGAAAGCTTTTAAGGAGTTTTCTGGAAAAAGTTATAGAAGGTTGAATTTCGTGTTTTAACATGGGAAGAGATGGCAAATGAATTAGTGGAGTGAGTCCTGTCTAGTAAGGTCATTTTTTTTTTTAAATTGATATTTTTCAAAATGTTGTGAATGATTTTGTATGAAATTTTCAGAATAGGTAGAATAAAGACTAAATTACTTTTTTTGTCCAAAATTTGAATTTTTGACCACTTTTCAGCCAAATTTCGACCTGCCAACTTTGCAGCAATGTATCAAAATTTGAATTATTTGTTTTTCTTCACAAAATGGATGCCTTTAACACATGCACTAGTAACAGGCTTCAAAATTCATCTTTTTTGGATATAAATTCCTCTTGCAGGATATGGCAGGGGGCTTAATTTTTGTCATCAAATGGGAAGTATCGGGGTAATATCTATTCAATGTCTCATCAGTATTAGAAGAAAGACCATGAATGTGCATAGACTGGCTTTCATGTTTATGAATATTATGTAATGTCAAAATGAGTGAGGGGTGGGGCAGTTTAGTGTTAGCTTTGACACTTCTGTTTCCAGATTTTGGAGTTGTAGTATAAAAGAGAACACGTTATTATAAAAAAGACTGATTTTTCTTTTCTTTTTCATTTCAAGGCAAATTATACATTTAAATATCATTGAGAATGTGAATAAGAATGATCATCATCCAACTGCTGCAAAGCACCAGGTAAAATTTTGTCTGATTGTCCTTTTCTCTACCCACTGTCAGTTGAATTGAATTTTTTATATTTTGCAAATTCATGGATATCATCCAAAAACACATATTTTATCATTTTTCACCTCTTCCACCTTAGTTCTAATGCTTTCATTGTTCAA